CACCCCCAGCCACCCACGGCTGGGGGACCAGTCCTGCAAGGCTTCCTCGTCTCACCTCCCAACCCCAAGGGGGTCCCTGACAGCTCCCAGCTCAACCCCACCACATGAATCCAACCGGTAGCACCCCCTTGCCCACGGCATGGGGGGAACCCCTGGTTGCCCCACTCCCATCAGCCACGCCCAGGTTGTCCCGTAGGGCACTGGCCTCCAAGTGCTGGTCAAAATTCAGGTTGGGCACCAGCTTCAGCCTCATCCGGGAGTAGGTCTCGGCGCTCGACAGCTTCCAGCGAACTTCTGGTGGGTTCCTGGGGGGCAGGCGGGGGTGAGGCACCCTGGGGACCCCCAGACGTCCTACCCCTCCCCAGGGACCGAGGTGGGGGCTCACCGGTCAGCCCAGGCGGAGCGGGGCGAGGTGAGGAGGCGGCACAGACCCCGCCACTGCTTCAGCACGGTGCTGTGGTGGTTGTTGGCCTGCTTGAGCACGTTGGCGTGACGGACATTTTCTGCCTTGGAGCGCTTTGCCACCGGCTCCAGCACCAGCTCCTGCCGAAGGAGCAGGAGAGTGAAGTGACAGCAGGGCTGGGGCTTGGGGACATCCCCGAGGTGAGGAGCATGTCCATGGGGTGATGTCCCCAGGGCAAGGAGAATGTCCCCAGGATGATGGACTTGGGATGAGGAGCACATCCCCGGGATGATGTCCCCAGGCTGATGAGTACATTCCCAGGATGAAGTTCCTGGGATGAGGAACGCATCCCCAGAACAATGTCCCCAGGATGAGGAGCGTTTCCTGAGGGCAATGTCGCCAGGGTAAGGAGCATGTCCCCAGGATGACATCCCTGGGATGAAGAGCACATCCCCAGGATTAATGTCCCCAGGGTGAGGAGCACGTCCCTGGGGTGAGGAGCATGTCCCTAGGATGACATCCCCAGAGGAGCACATCCCCAGGATGATGTCCCTGGGTGATGTCCTTGGGATGAGGAGCATGTCCCCAGAACGATGTCCCCAGGATAAGGAGCACATCCTGAGGACTATGTCCCCAGAGTGAGGAGGATCTCCCCAGAATGACATCCCCAGGATGAAGGGCACATCCCCAGGATTAATGTCCCCAGGGTGAGGAGCACGTCCATGGGGTGAGGAGCACGTCTCCAGGATGACATCCCCAGAGTGAGGAGCATGTCCACGGGATGGCATCCTTGGGGTGAGGAGCACATCCCCATGACCCCTGGATGATGTCCCTGGGGTGAAGAGCATGTACCCAGGGTGAGGAACACGTACCCAGGGTGAGGAGCACACCCCTGAAACAACATCCCTGGGTTGACGAGCACATCCCCGGGAAGAGGAGCACATCCCGAGGACCATGTCCCCAAGGTGAGGAGGATGTCCCCAGGGTGACATCCTCGAGATGAGGAGCACATCCCCAGGATTAATATCCCCAGGGAGAGGAGCACGTCCCTAGGATGACATTCCCAGAGTGAGGAGCACATCCCCTAGATGACATCCTTGGGGTGAGGACCATGTCCCCAGGATGAGAAGCATACCCCCAGGGTGACATCCCAGGGGCAAGGAGCAGGCAGTACCTGGAACATCTTGCGGCTGGCCGCCTTCTCTTGCTCCCGCCGCTGGGAGCTGCTCATCATGGTATCGTAGCAGGCGTTCCAGAAATTGGACATGTGGTCGTGGCTCTTGGCGAAGGTGTCCATCTCAAACTGGGCCATGGTGGGCTGCACCTACCGAGAGAACCGGGACAACAAGGGAGGTGTTTGCAGGGCTTGGCACCCACCAACCATCATCCAGACTATGAGCATCCCTGCCCTAGAGGTCACCCCCGCAGGCTGTCCCAACTCGGTTGTGACACGGGGACCCCGCTGCAGCACGGACCCATCTCTAAGCCTGGAAAGGTGTTCCCCCAACAGTGATGCCACCCCATGGCCCCACGGCACCCACGTGTTTCTCGATGAAGCCCCTCCACTCCGGGGTGGTGCAGAAGAGCTGGAAGTCCTCATAGAAAGTGGGGCTGCCGTTGGGGGGGGGCAGCGAGGGCAGGGAGAGCTGGGGGGGGGGCATCGAGGGCAGGAAGAGCTGCAGCTGCAGGGTCTCGTAGCACTGGTCCATGAGCGTCCGGACGATGGGCACCAACCAGGAGAAGGTCTCCGACTTGGCGTCCAGCGAGCGTCGCAGCGGGGTCTCCAGCTTGCCCAGGAGGTAGCAAGCCTCGTCCTTTTTTGGGGCCGAGGCGGTCTGCAGCAGGCTGTGCAGCTTCACGTACGCCAGCGAGTGCAGCTGGGGGGGGGACATGGGACATCAGATGGGGCCACCTGCCTTGCCCCAAGGGCCGGGGTCTCACCCCGAGCCCCAGGAAGGGTTGACCCACCTGGGGGTCCTGCAGCATGATGTAGCCCACGAGGATGCGTAGACCCGTCTGGGCCATCTCCTTGAGGTCGGAGGTGCCATTGGCCAGGTGGTACCAGACGCCCAGCTTGTCCAGCAGACTGCTCACCCCCTCGTAGATCTGGGGGGGAACAGTGAGCCCCCCGCCCAGCCGCGCACCCCTCACCTCTCCAGCCAGCCTGGCGCAAAGCCACCAGGTCTGTCCCCATCACCCAGCCACCCTGGGCTTCGCTTGACACGGGTTTGGGTTACGGGTAGGGGTTAGGATTAGGGTTTAGGGGTGGGGTAGAGCCCCAGCCCGTAACCCTAATGACGAACTAGTCAGGGTTTGGCACTAGGGTTACGGGCTGGGGCTTAGGGTATGGATTTATGGTAAGGGGGTAGGGTTAGGGTTAAGGGTTAGGACTGGGGTTAGGGCCAGGGTGTAGGATTGGGGTTAGGGTTGAAGTTTACGGCAAGTATGTAGGGTTAAGGTGTAGGATTAGGATTTGGGAGGTACGGTGAGGTTTATAAATTATGAGCTAAGGTCAGGGCTTAGGTTATAGGGTTAGGATTTCAGTTTACAGTAAGGGTGTAGGGTTAGGGTCAAGGGTTGGGACTGGGGTTAGGGCCAGGGTATAGATTTGCGGTTGAGGCTGTTTATGGCAAGGATGTAGGGTTAAGGTTTAGGATTAGGATTTAGGAGGTATGGTTATGAGTTAGGGTTATCGCTTAGGGTTAGAGCTTAGGGTATGGGGCTAGGGTTTTGGGTTTACAGTAAGGGTGGAGGGTTAAGGTCAAAGTTTAGGATTGAGGTTGGGGTTAGGGTTAGGTTTTGCAGCAAGAGTGTATTGTTAGGGTTTACAGCAAGGGTTAGGGTTAGATTTACAGGTTATGAGTTAGGGATGGGTTTTAGGGTCAGATCTTAGCATATAGGGTTAGAGTACAGGACTGCGTTTATGGTAACAGTGTAGGGCTAGGGTTAAGGGCTAGGATTAGGGGTTAGGCTAGGCTACAGGACTGGGCTTCACAGCAAGGGTGCGGGGTTAGGGTTAAGGCTTAGGGTTAGAGTTGGGGTTTATGGCAAGGGTGTAGGGCTAGGGCTGAGGTTTAGAGTTAGGTTTAGGGGTCAGGGTTGGATTTACCGGCTATGGGTTAGGGTTATGGTTTAGGATTAAGGCACAAGTTATTTTCGAAGGTTAGGTTCAAGGGCTGCAGGTAGGGGCAGGGTTTAGGGTCAGGGCTAACATCAGGGGCTAGGGGTTAGCACTAGGGTTCAGAGCTCGGGTTTGGGACCAGGGACCCCTGCTCGTGCCCATCCACCTTCTCGCTCCACAGGGCCTGGTTGTTGTGTCCCTCAGAGAACAAGAAGTCCTGGAGCAGCCGCAGCAGCTTGAGGGCGGTGTGGGGACTGGGCAGGGCGGCCGGCCCCGACTCCTTCAGGTCCGTCAGCGCCGACTCCAGCATCATCTCCAGCAGGCTGCGGGAGAGCAGGCAGCTCCGTAGGGTGGTCCTCTCTTGGGGTGCACCCCCTGGACCTCGGTCCAGACCTGGGCAGGACTCACCTGCGCTTGATCTCATCAGGGGGCCGCACCAGCTCGCACGCTGTCCCCAGCTTGGTGAGGACGGAGAAGACCTGCCCGCGCTCCCTCCACGCTGCATCGTCCCAGCCCTCCACCCCACGCCAGGTCACCGAGAAGACAATGTTGGTCAGGAGGTTGCACAGTTCTTCCTCGGGCGTTTGCTGTGAACGGGGAGGAAGAGTGAGAGATCCGACACCCAGCGTAGCCCAGGGTGGTGGGCACGATGGTTTGGGGCTCACCTGGGGGTTGCTGGTGTTGGAAACGTTGTCACTGGGCAGCGCGTCCTGGTAGCTGCTCTCATCCAGGACGTTTGAGAGGCTGGAGCTCTTGCGTGCTCGCATCCCCGGGAAGGGCTTGAAGCTCTCCAGGGGCGAGGGGGTGCCGGGGCCGCTGGCGGGGGGCAGCGTGCCGCCCTCGGCTGG